TGACGCAGGGCAGCCGGTTGTGGAACCATGCCAGATTAGGAGGCGAGCTGTGGCTTTCTTCTCCTCCCTATATACCAGTGAGTACGGGGAGGAGGAGGCACTGATGGAGGAGTTCTGCAGTGAGCTGCCTCAGGTCCGGGAGGAGACCAATGCAACACTTGACAGGCCAATAAGCCCAGGGGAGCTTTAGTAGAAGAATGATATTATCGGCGTATGCCGACGATGTAGTTGTCTTTATTAAAGACCAGAGCGATGCAGACCTTTTAAATAACATCGTTAAAAGTTTTAGTAAGGAATCGGCAGCGAGGGTGAACTGGAAAAAAAGTGAAGCCCTCGCTGTCGGTGAATGGCGTGGCGGCCTCCCAGTTCTTCCCCAAAGCCTAGTGTGGAGGAAAGGTGGTTTTAAATACCTGGGGATTTATCTGGGACAAGAGAGCATCGTCCAGAAGAACTGGGAGGGCGTCACAGAGAAGATAGAGGGGAAACTTTCCAAATGGAAATGGCTGCTCCTTCAAATGTTTTTTAAAGGTAGAGTTTTGGTTTTAAACAACCTGATTGCATCCCAGCTGTGGCACCGTCTTACCTGCCTGGACCCTCCCTCAGGCTTACTTGCCAACTTACAGAAGAAAATGGTGGATTTCTTTTGGGGGGGTCTACACTGGGTGCCACAAGGGGTGCTGTTTTTAGCCAGAGACGAGGGGGGACAGGGCCTCGTCCACCTGGCCAGCCGGACGACCACTTTTAGACTACAGTTCTTACAGAAATATCTCACAGGTCCGGAGTTTTTAGTATGGAGGGACGTGGCCAGCTGCATTTCTAGACGTGCAAACAACCTGGGGCTGGATACTGCTCTGTTTTTAATTGATTCTACATTTTTAAAGTTAAATGGGCTACCTCCGTTTTATCAGGGTGTTTTTAAGTCTTGGGCCCTTTTTAATCATAAAAGGTGCCCACAGTCTTTCTCTCTGTACTGGTTGTTGAGAGAACCTTTGATCTACAGAGCAAGGCTGGACATCAGCAGCAGTGGTACCCCAGGCCTGATGGGGGCGCTGCTGAAAACACGAGTCCTGTGCCTGCAGCAGCTGGTGGATGCAGTGGGGCCGACGCTGAGCGACGCCCCGGCCCTGGGCTCTCTGCTGGGGCTGCACTCCGTCCGGATGGCGAGGAGGCTCCTGGAGCTGTGGAACCAGAGGCTGACTGAGGAGGAAAGGAGCCTCCTCACAGACTACAGCCAGAGAAAAGTGGAGCCGGACCCTGCAGACCCCTTCCCCGAGATCTACCTGAGCCCAGGACTAGGGGAACTCACCGGCCCCCTGCTCGCCACAACACGCCCCGAAGCGCTGACATTGCACGAAGCAGACAAAAAGTCTTTGTTTATTTTAACTGTGTGAAGAGCATAAACCGGTCGGGACTGTGCGACAGGCTCCCCACTGTGTGGTCCAACAGACTGGGACAAAATGGACCGGGCCCACAGTGGAGGATTTTATACAAACCTCCCCTCAAGAAACGGACTGCCGACCTCCAGTGGAGAATTTTACATGGTGCTGTCGCCTCCAACGCTTTTATCTCTGTTATTAATCCCACTGTTCTGAGCAAATGCCCCTTCTGTGACCTCCGAGAGACTATTTATCATGTTTTTACAGAGTGCAAGAGACTTGCGAGTTTCTTCTCTCTTTTAACATCGGTTTTTAGTCTTTTTAATGTGGTTTTTACTGAAAAGATTTTTATCATGGGAGCTGCCTACAAAAAAGCAGAAAAAGAAAAGTGGCAGCTCCTCAACTATCTTTCAGGGGAAGCCAAAATGGCCATTTATTTAAGCAGGAAGGCCAGAGTGAAGGACAGAGAGGGGCAGGAGGCCAGAGCAGTGTGGCTGGTGAATATCAGGGCCAGGCTCTGGCTAGAGTTCCGCTTTTATAAACACATTGGAGACGTAGACACTTTTAAACAACGTTGGTGTTTTAATAATATTGTGTGCTCAGTGAAAAAGAATGAATTGGTGTTTGCCCCTGTTTTTATGGCATGAAACGTAATTTTGCTTTGTTTGTTTTTGTTTTGTTTTTTTTTGTTTTTTTTTGTTTTGTTTTGTTGTTGTTTTGTCTTGGCTTTTTTTAACAAAGGAAGGAAATCTGTGACCTCTTTTTAAGCACATTGACAAAGTTGTTGAAATATGTAAAATAAATTGTTTTTCTAAAAAATCAAAAAAAATCTCCTCTCTCCTCACTCTTCCGCTCCCGTAACCGTCACAGTGAAGAGACACATCGACGGCGCTCCATTTAGTCGACAGGACACCCCTGACAACCGGAGCTCCAAGCGGCATGCTGGGAGTTGCACAGCAGATAGTATACGCGGGTGAGGAATGCTCTGTGGGGAGGGTGGTATGTGGGGGGGCGGCAGGAGCTGAATTTGCGATGTCATGCGGCCGATTAGGCAGCTAGTCTATCTCGCCGGCGTCAGGGGGCCGTCCCGCCAGCACATCG